TAAGCTCTAGTCCGCAAAATATTTTGTTGCCTTTACCGAAAACCAAATGCAAAATCATGATACTACCCGTTGTTGCTTGAGATTCTAAAGACTGAACTGATCGACTCTGCGGAAATAGTCTTAAGTTTCGCTAAATAAGACAACGGCGCTTTGAAATTGCTTAGCTTCCTGGCCACTTACCATGACGTAACGTCTTTCAGCCCAAACCATGGCTGCACTTAAATCATATCATTTCGAACCCAAGGGCGTCCTAAACTTAAATAGAGAGGCAATTACCAAGGTAGCAGTCATTTGAGAATTGTGTATTGTGTTTCCCAACATTTGAGCTGAATTTCGGGGAATTCTGCCTGTGCCGCCAGAATACATAGTTAGTTTCATAATGGCGGCGCCCTTTTTCAAATTGTTGGCACAGTTTTAAAGTAATTCTAAAAATGTACGATTCTTATTTGTAACCTCAAAATGAGGCATATTGCTCTTTGATTGAATAGGAATTTTTCAATGAAAGATAAAAAATTGTTTGGTTATTAAGAAGTCCTCTCCTTCAAAGTGGCTCACAATTTTAAAACAATTATCTCATACTTCAAATAAACATTTTTTCATTTATCTCATAGTTCAAATAACTTTCATTTATCTCATACTTCAAATAACTTTCATTTGAGGTCTTGAAAATGGAATCCAGACAATCATCAAGTGAACCTAAAATATCATGAATACCTCCAGATTTCAGTTTTGTCGTTGTTCGATTTAGGAAACAACGTACTGAGAAAGTGAACAAAAAAATAGTGATGAAAACATTTAATAATACTTGAATTAATTGTTCTTATTTTTTTCTCAGAGGGCACGGTAACGAATCCTGCAATCTGATTGGTTCTTCGTGCGGTCCGTAATTTCCTATCTCTGCTTATGGGTGCCGTAACCCTTTCGTGAGTTGCCGAGAACATCCTTGCCTTCGTTACCATTTTTCATAAATGTATCAGTTTCGCTTCGGCTGGACAGTAATTTTAAGCAAAGAAATCGGTCACTACCTCAACCTGATAAATATCTTGTTAATTATCTTCTTTCTCTCTCAAATCAATTTGGTTGCCAGCGAAAAATTGGAAAAACTAATTGGTGGTAGGAAATGTGTCAATATCGAATGGGTTCCTACGCGGCCTGAAAACTGTTTTTAATTAATTTTGATCTTCACAAAAAGTAACTCAGAAAGTTATACTTGCAGATATTTGCTAACATTTGAATTGATGGATGGAACTTTCATTCGTTCAATATCTGAATTCAATTGCAATTCTCCCAAAAAAAAAAATAATAATAATAATAATAATAGTAATAATAATAATAAATGTCTTTATTAAGCACTCTAAACAACAAACGTGCTTAGTTACAACGATATGAACTGAGCAAGTATAAAACTATACTTCCTTGTAAAATGATGAGCGAAGTTTACTTCTGCGAATTCGCTTTCAGTCGGCCTTTGCAAATCCGTTCTCACAACTTCAAAACATACATTTGAGTTTACTTACCATTGCTTTCCTTGCTATTTATTGACTGGGCAGAGGTAAATATTCGTAGATTACTCGTTAGTGCAAGGGGATTATACTTTCTAAATAAATAAAAGTGTTTTTCATCAGCCTAGGTCGGTCCCTGTTGGGAAATGCTCTGGGCACTGTTGTTGCGTTGAAATGCCGAAAGCCCAAAACTCCAGGCTACTCAAGCCGGTTTTGGTGCGCACACCTTTGATTTTCATGTACACAGATGACCAAATCTGCGCCCACAATAGTTCAAGAGGGCCTGGAAAAGGATCAGCTTCTAGGCAACCGCCGCGCATGTTCAAACGAGCAACAACAGGATGTCGGCAGAGCCTTTTTCCCTTTTCGATTCGAGGACTGGTTAAAAAGGCTCTGCTCGCAGGGTTTGCACTCAAGACCTTGAGCACGGCTTTTCCTAATACAGACCACCCGGTTGACGAATAGCATGTATCCACTTGGCCATGCATTGTTGTCGTAACGTTCTCGTCGGGTTGTTGTTGGTCGTCGTCACGTCTTCGTTGTGTCGTGTCATGGCAACCAATGACGAAGCATTTAATCCGAAGGGATTTGCCCCAAGTTCATTGCTTTTCGAAGCATGACAATAATGGCGTTTCTGGTTCGCTTTTTGTGGTCAAGATGTGACGATCAAAGACAACAGCTTTAAAGGAAATCATAATGCGTCTGTTGCCATTGGTTAATTAGCGGGACTGAAGCAAATTCAATTCTTATTTCATAACAAGATTTAAAGTTAACACGTTTTCCCCGCTGACAGCAGGTGCCGAGCAGGTGAATGGTCAGTTGATAAATAATGATAAATACCCCCACGTGCTAATAACCACAAGTCAAATTAGGATACAGATTTGCATTTGAACCTAACTTTGTGATGCATTTTCGTTCCATCAAGCGTTGGAGAACTTTCTCTTTGGCTAAACAGCTGCAGAATTTCTTAGCTCATGTGGCAAATCACAGATGGAAATCGTCCTCTGCTTGACACAGTCCTGTCTCCTTGCTATAGCTTTATTCTTTTCTCTTGGAGAAGAGCTGGTTTTAGATCCAAAAGGTAACGCGCTGTTTCCGAGGTTGATGCCAGTGCTCGATGGAAAAACTCGGCACCAGCCCAACATATCGCAATGCTTCGTGTTGGAGAAGCCAGCAAGGTGGCAGATTTCATTCGGTGTTCTCACCGCCGCACACACTAGTTTCATACTCATGCGTTTTGGACTGCGAAGCCGCAGGAAATCTCCCCAGCCTATTTTACCTGTTCTGTGTGTCATCAGCTGGTTAATGGTTGTGTTGCTTTTGTGCGCAAAGATCGTTATTTATCTAATAACGAATGTGACCATTGAAATAGTCCCAAAAGGTAATTATATCACCATGCTTCTTACTATTTCCTGGGAGGCAACAAGAGCCGTTTTCGAGAGGTGCTGCCATAAGATTTTTCACGCTGTTGTACACTCGATACCTAGTAATTATATGCAAGAAGAGTTGCAAATGGATAAATTTTACATCTGCTTGCCCGAAGCTATGGCAATGGAAGAATTTGGGGCGAGTATACCTCGAGCTACCTTCATGTTGGTTTTAACATACTGTATTTCTAGTGGGTACGTGATATTTCTTGTCTTAAATTACGAGGAAAACAGCGTAAAAATGAACTGTGAGCAGTTCAATAACAGTACACGAAACAGATCCCCAAAGCATAGAGGTTATGGATGTGATAGTTTAGACATGGAAGGAGAAGAACGGAGGCAAAGAAGAACAATAATGTATGAATCGAAAAATTGCCTTCGGGGAAAAGAAAAATTTAGTGTTGCTTTTCTGGAAGAGAGTGACGAGGAATCTTTTGTTTTCGGTTGGCGGTTGTGAAGGGTTGGGAAAATTTTGTCAACACAGCGTTGACTCACTGCGTCTCGTGAAAAACATCTCCGAGATGAGACTACTTCACACTTCTTGTGATCGAGCCAGGGTGATAGGGTGGGAAATGGAGAAAACACACCAGTCAATTTTAGCTAGAAGCCAGCTATGGCGGTTTTATTTTAGGAGTAAAAGCACTTTCTCTTCCCCCCCCCCACCCTAATCACGTGACACCAGTGGTGTGAGAGCGTTTTAACGTTTGACTAGAAACCGAAAAACGGAATTGATGGTGTGCCTGTGTAAGCTTAAGTTTTTACCTACTCTCAGTTTTGTATTGCCGCTTGCAAGGGATACACAAGAAATGATGATGATCCTTGCAAACGAGCTGCAAATGAAGAAATTGCAGAAAACAAAACCCTGAAAAAAGTTCATGCTTCGATGATTTCGGAACCGGCGCCTGTCAGAGACTGGTTAGGCGCAACAATTATCCGAGCTATGAAGCCACACGCAAATGTTTTGAAGATTCTCCTTTGTCGCGAATAAATCTGATCTTAATTAAATAAGACGGAATGTATTTTGCTTGGAATTTTACAGCGTAAATGTGGAACGCTGTGTATGTCGAGTTCCAGCATCGGAATAAAAATATAAGGTGTTGTAGATACAAACGTCCAAAATGATCGCTATCACTTATCTAGGAGCCTACTACGTATGACAGCGTTTCTCGAACGTAAATAAGCTGAAGGATGCCTAAAGTTGACCTAACACAAAAAAGGGAAGGATAAAATCTCACATTCTAAATTATCACCTCAACAACTTTGCGAATTCTCGAGTTTTATTTTCCCCCAAAGTTAATTACACGTACGAGGAACCGTGTAAATACGTGCAGAGAATATCTACTTCTAGCAAACGCAGTTGGCACAAAATTGTCCCAAAGAAAAAGAAATATAAAGCCGGAAAAAGATCGAAACTAAGACAAAATGGAGAGTGTGCAATGATCTCAAGAATTTTACAGAAAGTTACGAATCAACGCCGGTTTCTAAGCAACTGCACACTTTCCCTTCCGTTCCCCTAACCCAAGATTAACCTAACATTGTAGACTTTCTCAAAGTCGTTCGCTTGGTTTTCTGTTCTGGTGTGGTAGGATCCGCTTTCGCTCGCTCGGCTCGCAGGCGCTTCGCGCTCACTGTCGCGCTACGCGCTCAAAAGCGCGACTTGTGAGCAAGTCTACCTTAGTGCAAGGGGATTATACTTTCTAAATAAATAAAAGTGTTTTTCATCAGCCTAGGTCGGTCCCTGTTGGGAAATGCTCTGGGCACTGTTGTTGCGTTGAAATGCCGAAAGCCCAAAACTCCAGGCTACTCAAGCCGGTTTTGGTGCGCACGCCTTTGGTTTTCATGTACACAGATGACCAAATCTGCGCCCACAATAGTTCAAGAGGGCCTGGAAAAGGATCAGCTTCTAGGCAACCGCCGCGCATGTTCAAACGAGCAACAACAGGATGTCGGCAGAGCCTTTTTCCCTTTTCGATTCGAGGACGGGTTAAAAAGGCTCTGCTCGCAGGGTAGATTGTGACAATCTCACATGTTGTTTTCTTCGGTCAGCTGTTTCTTAAAAGTCACNGTTCACTACCAGGATACAATTAGATATTACGTACTGTATTTATTCAAAAATTGTTCTAATTTTACATTTTTTCATTTACCAAATGGGCAGATTCAAAATCCTCAGTAAAGTCTGATGAGTTGTATGTCATATCATCTTGATAACATCAACCAATCAATCCTCATAATCAATTTTAAGTGACAAACTAAAAATTACAGTACTTGAATAAATTTATCGTACTCATTGACATGAAGTGTTATTTTGAATTTCTGTTTTTTGAGGGGGAAGGGGGGAGGGGTGGGGGCCTTAACCCTTAAGAAATTTCTTTCTACAGAGCGGGAATGCTTATAAGAAGGGGGTTTAATAGAGGATTTACGGTAAATACAAATAATGTTTATTCCTTTTTTTTTTTAAATGAAAACAAACTTTAATTATTATTATAAAAAAGAAAATCATAGAAGCAGTTACCGATCAAAAGGTAACGCACTTATAAAATCATTTACCTCTAGGATAGCAGAATGAGAGAAAACATTTCAACACCGTAATTTGAATTCTTACAAAAATGCTTAGCCGACAGCTTGGTATCCAGCGGAAGAGCTTGAGAGCGTCCAAATGTTTTCCAATTTTAATTTCAGCCAGTCAGCAAATAGCAAGATCGTTCCCAAAGTTGTCACTTGTAATGAAATCAAGTATTGCTTAGCAACTACGGAAACCGCCGACTCAGTCCAATTCAACCCAAACTCTTTCTGTCATTTGGAGAAGAAGGCATTCTTGGAGAGTAAACGTTTCTTTTACAACATGTTATTCAACATTGATAAACTAATTCTGAACAACTATTTCTAACAAAACAGGATACACCAGCGAGACATGTCCACCTTTAAAACGCTAAGACGTGTTCATTCTCGGAATATAGGCCAATATTCTTCACATCAATAACCGCCCTTACATATATGTATCTCCCATAATACACAGCCTCCGTCACCTATTTCGTTGACATGTTCTTCTTCTACCTCTTGGGTAGCATTGCAACATGGAAAAGCCATTGAGTGGACATTTCATGAGAAAGACATGACAGTCAAACCTCACTCGACAAAAAATCCTTGGCATCTTCACGGTTTACATCGAATTATTGAGGCAGTGGCATTCACACCAAGCCACGCTGTCGGATCGGCAGCAGAAGGACACTTCTTCCATTCCCATACCACAGGCATGTGGCAGGCACGTGGCTGTCAACTAGGACTTCACCGAAGTTTCCCAGTTTTTCTCAATTGTCGTCGGTGGAGAAGAGGTAGTCGCATTTTTCTATACACGTTTGAATGAAGAACAGCAAGTACATGTGTGTAGACATCTCCAGGCGGGTGAAATCCGGACGAATGATGGTCGGGAATAAAACCAAGGCTATGTTTCTCGATTCCATGAGATTGTCCTTGGAAAACTCCGTAACTCTGTAGGAAAGTGTTAAAAAAATTAGGTACTGTATCTACCTTGGCTTTATTGGATTAGCTGATCACGTTTTGTCCAATTCCCAAAGCGTAAAGTACAACTCTGAATTTTAAGCACATTGATCTTAGAGTCACCAAGCTAGATCGTGAACCAACAATTTAAGAATATTTGTGAAACTAATCTAGGAGAGGCGAACAGTATTCCACATTTTTAACGCTAAAATATCCACGATGGCAACCTTTAGGAGTGGAGGTAACGGCAGAAAGATTGCGATCACAATTAGACCAAGAAGTTTCGGTACACGATGATGTACATTAAATTCCTCTGAAGAGGAATCAACTGTCAAATCGCGAGGTAGCAACCCGCGAAAAGGAGTGCATTTAATTTATGTTATTGTAGCAAAACCAAAGACAGAAGCAAGCAAAACAAAATATAAATATGAATAACCATATTGAAGATATTGCCTGAAGGTGAGAGAAGAAAGGTCAAAACTCCCGCTTACAGTTCAACCTACCGATTAAGATGGAACATGATGCGTTTAAAGACAGCCAGGTTATGGGGTGGTATATCTTGTAGCAGCTGCTTGAGCCGAGCTAAGCGGCTGTTAGCATCAGGGTGAACTATATGGCAAGGAGAGACACAAAAAGTAAATAGGCATCATGACGAGCCGTTTCTTTTAACTGACACGCACGGACGAAAATTCTTGAAAAGCGCAGAAAAACGAGCGTTTCAAACCGTGGGCAAAGAAAGAAAAGTGAAAAGAAATGTTCCCCACCCTCGAAAAAGGAAAAGAAAAAACATAATAATAATTAACATTCTGCCAGAAAATCTGCACAATTTAAATGTTACTCTAATAGTTTTAGTTTCAGTTACCACACATTAGAGAAGGGTTTATCAGCATTTCCACTTTGTACTCTGTTAAAATTTTTGTTCCACTTACCCATGGCATCATGGAACGAGCTCTGATAGGCTCCAGGGATTATTGGTTCTGGGAGGAGCTTTAGGAATGACTTGAAGGCACCTGTCACTGCGTGGACCCCAACACCCAGCTCGGCCAACTCTAGGTTAGGATCTGGTTCAAAGAGAGAGGAGGGAACGTTTCCTTAATTTATCATAACCAAAAAACTCGATGAAATAATAATAATTCTGACACCAGAGATTGGACTTGTTTCCGGGCACTTAATAGTTCAACTTCTCGACCAAACGTGTATACGTAAAGAGATTATGTTTCTAGAGACACCGTGGTGCTCTGTCAGTTGAGGATATAGCAAGATAAATTGGTCTTAACAACAGACGGTCGATAATGTAATTCAGCCACGTAATGAGTTTCTGAAACTGACGTTTTCAGGGTTAACCTTTCGCCAGTGCCCTAATGAAGAGCTCACGCTCGAAACGCTAGCTTTAGAACCTCTTTGCGGCGGCCAATTTACACCCATGTACACAGCCAAAATGGTTTGCCGTCTGCCAATTAGGATTCTTGTTGAACTTGCGTTCGATTTGGATTATTATTTTTGACTAACTGTAAACTTGCTGGAGAAGCTTGGTGAGTTTCTTCTCCAACATTACAAAAATACCGCAATAATCATTACAATTATCGTCACCAACACTATCAAATCTTATAATGGCTGATAGTTTCTATAGGCTGATAGTTTTGATGGAAGATACTGATTGGGGCTGCGTCGGTGGTAGTAACGAAATAATTTGGATATATCAACAAAGTTGAAATGGTAAATTGGCCACCGTAACGAATACAAAAGCTGACGTTTCGAGCGTTATCCCTTCGTCGAAACGTCAGCTTTTGTAATCGTTACGGTGGCCAATTTACCATTTCAACTTTGTTGATATATCCAAATTATTGTTTTTATAGAATTGTCAGAAATTTCCCAGGTATATATCAAATCTTGACCACTTACTCTCTTCAACTTTCTGTTCGATGAGGTGTATGTCCGCTGAGTTACCATTTACTCTGTAAATTCCCTCTAACTGCATTCCTTTAAGATGATGAGGGAAAAAAGAAAAGTTCATTTTCTCGATTGTACCTGTTGATGGACGATTTATCAAGTACACACCTTTTGAAACAGCTGGTCAAAGTCTACACCTGATACTAACACACGTAACTTTCTCATCTAATAGCGAGTAAAAAGCAGACAGAACGCGCTAATGTGATTGCGTGACGGGTTTGCGTGACTCACCTGTGTTCTCAACAAATTCTATACATTTATCCAAGAATGCGGGAACAAGTGTTGTTGGATCGCAGATTGACTCGAGCGGCTGACCAAAATAAGTGTAATTGCTGATATTTTTCTGTCTGCTTTGAAAAAATTTGTCGATTTTCTCTCTATCCTTTCTCTTTTTCTTCTCTTCGCGTTTCTGACGTTTCTCGTCTTCTCGCGTCTTCTTCTCTTCTTTCTTTCTCTGTTTCTGAGCTTCGCGTTCCTCTCGACTGGGTTTCTTTCGGGACGACGACCAGGGCTGTGACAGTACGAAAGAAAAAGGTTAAAATGTTTGGAGGGAGGGTAAAAAAAAAAACAAAAACAAAAAAAAACAACAACAACAACAACAACAAAACGAAAATAAAACGATATCTCTGAGAAATGTGAGCCCGTAGCCTTCGGTAAACCCTGGCCCTTTAAACGCCAAGAGTGACCAACATCTTATTTCTCCTTTCAATAATACTCCTGAATCATTCATAAGATCACAAGAGAATAGCGTTAATGATCCACAACTTGAGAAGCTTGGATTGCTAAACGAATTCTCCTGGACAGGACAAAAAGAAATGCGTAGAGAAAAGTACAGAGAGTGTGGATACTGACGGCAGGGTGTAAAGGGTTCACTTTCTTTTTGTCTCAGCCATTAGTCACATCGTCTTTAGTCCAATTCATAAACAATAAAAAGACATATCCTCCTACATATTAAAAAAAAAAAAAAAAGAAAAAGAAAGAACTCACCGATCTCCTCGGTTTATGACCAGGCGAACCAGGGTCATCCTCTGTTTCCTATGATAAGTAAATAAAAAATAGTTAAAAAAGCAAACGAACAGAGCTTGTTGGAGAGTACACCCAAACCGTGTACTCCTTTGATGAGCAATGGTCTGTTCTCCAGCCAAGTGCCCCATCCGGGCGGAGCTCAGCCTGGTTTCCATGGCATGAAGCGACTAGGAACACTAGGAGCAATATATGCACCCACCCCTCCCTCCCATATACCAAAACCAGTCAAGTGATAACAACTTAAGGTTAATGTTGGGTTAGGAGAGGGGTGGGTGAACAGGTGCTCAGATACTGACATAGATCCGAATATTACTACCACCCTTGGACAGGATGCCAGTTCATCGCATGGACAGAACCATTTTCAGCACAAACAGCGCAAGAACTGAACCGAACAGTTGAACCTTGTACAATAGTAGAAGGCTAGAGTCAGTCAAACTCTTTGTTTACCTCTTCAGTACCAGGATCTGACTGCCTTTGAGGTAAGTCTAAGAGGGCGGGCTGAAAGGAACAAAACATAGCAAATTATTTAAACAACTTCATATGTGTAAAAATTTGAATGTATCAACAAAGTTGAAATGGTAAAGTGGCCACCGTTACGGTTATAAAAGCTGACGTTTCGAGCGTTAGCCCTTTTCGCTCCGACGAAGGGCTAACGCTCGATACGTCAGCTTTTCTAACCATAACGGTGGCCAATTTACCATTTCTACTTTGTTGATACATTCAAATTATTTCGTTACCCCCACCGACGCAGCCCCAAACAGTTTCTTAGAAACTATCAGCCTTTATTCAAACGTGTAAGTCTAATTTCATCCCAAGGCACCACTTTTAGGCCTACGTACCGTATCAAAAACAACTATCACAAACTACATGCAGACTGAGATTTTTTCAAGTTCGGTTTCTTTTAACTGGGTCGATTAAGCTGATGCTAAATGGTAAATTTTCCTCGT